AGGCTCCGGATTTTCCTTAACAAGTGAAATTTAAAAGAACGCTGGTTAGTTCCACCAAGAAGCAAAAGAACTCAATGACAATGAATGAACTAAGTATTGCGAAGTGCTCCATTACCCCATGCTTCCCAGATGTCACATAGCTTTGACCTAGATCATCTGTTGAACCCCATGTAATAATCTTTCCAGACTCTAGGTGAAAGTATAACAATGAAGAATCATGAGCAAAACGAAACGTACCTCGCAAAAGAACCTTTAAAGGAAAACATATACAAATACACATGGTAAAACTAAAACAGCCATATTGGGAAGAAAAATAATAAAACGTATCAAGCGCCTGAAATTGAAGTTGACAGTTCAAATGCAAACAACTTTCCTCCAAACCAAATGACAAACGGAGGGAGTAAATTTTGATTTTGAGAAGGAAATGACAGAACGCTGAAACCATGAAGAAAAAACAAAACAAAACAAAAATTTCTTCCCCAACTTGAAATGAGGAAAAATGAAAAAAGATACGGAAACAAATAAAGCAGTCAATTTTTAAAACACTGACAAAACAACAGAAAAAATAAATATACTCAAATAACTAACTTAACTAAGCAATCAAATTACTACGAAACAAAAAATTTCTAGCTCTACTTCCATTTCTTTTCCCACATTTTCTCACCAACCAAACAGAGGATAAATGTAGTTAGTCAGTCAAAGAAGGTCACCCGTGGTCAAATTTTCCCACACACCAACTCAATCAGCAACATTACCAACTCCAATACCCTAAACCAGCTACGACCTTCGAAACTCAAAAATTAAGATTTTTCAGCTAAAATCAGACTGATAAAGAGAAAGAAGAAAGCACCAGAAAGCGCCATGGCGAAGCCGCAACCGCCTCCACACACATCCTTATACGTGTACTCGGCGCCGGGCGTCCGCACGATGGTCGGCGACAAAAGAGGCGACCTTTGCGGTAGAGCTCCAGGAAGATAGCCCCACATGAACACCACCTTCTCTTTCTCCTCTTCCATTTTCACTGCTTCTTCGAAATTTTCCTCCCCATTCATCGCTGGTATAGTTTGAAAACCAAACAAGGGAAAAAGAAAGCAAAGTGAGAACTTTTTTCTATTTTTTTTTAGTTTCCTTTTCGGGGGTTTCTCTGTGATTTTCTTGAATTTTCTGTTTGGAGTGAGAAATGTTGAGAGTTTTTTCAGCTCGGTGTGTGGACTTTTAAAGTGTGTTTCGAAAGTGCCCTAATTGCAAATGGGGCCGTATCATTTTCAGGAAAATGGGGACGCCACGTCGGATGCCCGCATGGTCATGTGGACACGTGGCTCGTTTTGGACCCCTAGATGCTTCGGCCATTGCCAGCCAGTAGTTCCCGGAAGTTTCTGGAAGGTCGGTAAGCCTCTCCAAACTCCATAGGCAATGCCTAGGAGCTGGCGTGGCCTTCTCATTGTCACACCACGTGTTGGCATCTGATGCGAGCTCCAATCATTATGTCCTGCCACGCGTCCGCATCTTTGATTGGGACCTTTAAAAAACGTCGACTGTATTTTATATTCTTTTTCTGAATTAATATAATGATAAGATTTCTTCGCCTCTCTTCTCAAATCAAATAAAAATAATTATATCTAGTTCTAATGGTTTAGGAGAATTATACGTGGTGTACTATCAATTTTCTTTCCCTTTCCTTACGATATTTTTGCCTTTAAATGGCATTTTCAAAGGATGCCAACAACTTGGTCATGATAGGTCCATATTTTTCAGTTGAAATTTTTGGAATATAAATTCCAATGTCTCACTCTCACGGCTAAATGTATCTCTCTACTTTTTTTTTCTCTTTGTTTGGCAAAAACTAAGAATGCATGACAACCAACAAGTTGAAACTTTAAATTTTCAAACACTTATGTCGCAATCTTTCACGAAGATATTAATTCATGAGTAAACATCACGTAATCTACTCATGGATTCTTAACAATTGGTGTCATAGTCAAGTGTCACCACGCAACAAGGCTGGATTAAGATGACCATAAACATGATATAAAATGGTTATGCTTTTTAAGAATAATTCTCAAGTTTCCCAATATTGGAGTCTTATGACTAATATGAGGAAAATAAAAGGTGGTATTGATACCATCTAATTCTTCCAAGTTTTCTCGTTTCTACATGACTTGTAATTCCAGAAAACCCTATTTTCCCAATCATGCAATGCAATTCAATAATAAGGTAGAGAGTAGAGAGTATAAACTCCACCACATAACTAACTTTGCAACCACTGATCTTGTTGTGTTGTTTTGTTTGGACATGTCATTGACCAAAGTCTAATTGATTTGACACGTACAAGTGGCCCAGCCCAAAACAATAAGCGCCTGAACCACTTGAAGAGAGCGTTAGATAGATCGCAAACCACTGATTATTTAGTGGTGGATCGGGTACGGATCCGTATGACCATTCGTTTGGTCTGTGTACGGCACAATCACTCTATATTTGGGCCTCACAAAACAGAAATGGCAACATTTGCCACCCCAAATCCATCCAGTTGGCCCCATTTACACCAGTACCTGGCAAGGAATTAGGTTGCCAACAGAAGTAGAAGTAGGAAGTCCTATTTTCATGTTAATTACAATTTGACATGTGTTTAGAGATTTTTCTTGTTGTATTTTTGATGAATTATTTTTGCACATGTGTCAAACTGGAATTTAAAGAAAATAGGAATGTCCCTTTTTAGAAAAGAAGGGAAGTAGCATCCCAATGAATTATTTACCCTAATACGAGAGAATGGATAATCATAACCAAAATAATCTTTTGCATTTTGTTTGAATTCCCACTATAGAAATCTAGAAGTCTTCAATGAAACAAGATACGTAAAATTTATTCTCACAGTCAACTTATCACATAAAAGTATGATCTGTTATAGTGGCAGAATGCTTTGCCTTGTATGCGAAAGGTGGACGTCATGAGCAGACGTGATTGAAATAGTAGGACACAGAATCGTACCTTTTTATATATTTAAGTTTTTTAGTTTTTAGTTTTTTTTTATTGGAAGGACATGTCCAATACATCTAGTAGGGTTCAAATGTCAGGTAAGCAAATCACGAGGTTAGGAATACATATTTGATTATTGAATTTAAGGGGGGCCCAATCCCCACAATCAAGTGGTTGTTGATACGGATCCTTAACACCACACATATTAGAATGAAGTATTCTTACTCTTAATCTTACACATATTTTATGTCTGAGCCTCATATGTGCAACGTACTTGCCTATGAGACAAGGTACCCCAAATGTATCAAATTCGAGCCCTTCAATTATATGTGTTCACTTCTTAATCATTCAAAATGGTCACACAAACTCATCTTGTGATTGAGAAGAGGGAGGTCCATCTGATCCCCTGTAGGAGGCCCTACAGTGTTATTGTGTGGTGGGTTTTGTGTTTTGGATGATGATCACATGGGATTAGAGATTGTTATTCGAACACATGTTGCTTATTGGCACCCCTAGTTTTGGATTTATAATCATTTTTCATGGGGTCACTTTGAGAGCTGAGATTGTATTTGTTGAGTGAGTTTCGGGGTAGGGGGTCATATCTACCATTGCTATTGGTATTGTCCTCCTCAGGTTGTTAGGATTTTTCTCCCTTGGGGTTTTCAATGACAACGTTTTAATGAGGACATTTTGTTTTGCTCTATTTAGTTCTTGTTATGTTTTCCAATTAATGAAGTTCATTATTATTTTGATTATAAAAAATAAAAACTTGAAACTTTGTTTAACATAAAAATACCATTGTATCACACAACCTAAAGATGCAACATGTAAATACCATGTTGTGAGAAGGTATGCCAACCAATTCTTGTGAACCGTAAGAGCACTTCCACCCATTTATCATGGCAAATGGTAAGGGGAATTACTATTTACTTTAATTTTAATTTTAATTTTTTTTAAAATTTATACATAAATGGTTAATTTTGATAGGATTTAGGGTTTTGGTATGGGAAGTAAAGAGTATGGCTAGGTATTTATTTATTTTTAAAAAAACTCTGAATTTTTTGGTTTTTTTTTTGCAAAATTTTTATTATTTTAATTAGCTGCTCACGTCAGCATTACGTTACTTGCCCAGGCAGCAGCACGGGCTGGATTTGCCCAGGCTTGCCCTTGGGCGTTGGTGCCATCACGTGGGCCTAGGCAACCTGCCCAGGCTTCCCTTGCCGCTGGAAGTGCTCTAATCATGCCTCTACAACCTGCCTCAAGGAAAGTACATACTCTCTCTCACAGAGTATAAATGGATCTCAAAATTCCTGAAGCAACAGTAAGTTCCACATCAGCACCACCTAAAAACACGAAACAGAAGCTAGCTAAGAGAGAAAAGAGATAGTTCGATGGAAAGCCAGAAAACCAACGCTAGCGTGAACTTCTTCAAGATGCCGCTCCACTACCCAAGATATACCAAGAAGGACTACCATGACATGCCTGAGTGGAAGGTCAACCGGCTTCTTGCCGAGTATGGGTTGTCTACCAAGGGTGACTTGGCTCACAAGAGAGAGTTTGCAATGGGTGCCTTTCTCTGGCCTGAGCAGCGCCGTGATCCAAACCCTTCTTCATGATCATACCATAATTCTCTTAGAGAAAAAAAAAAGTTCAAAAAGCTAGCTTGCCACTTCTTGTAGTACCTACTTTGAAATGAAGCATCTTTTATGTATTCTGCACAATATCAGATCTTCTACTAGTTCTTTTTTATCTTTTCCTAAATTGAATGATGAATTTTGTTTCCAATTACAATAGTGCATTCACCTTAGCAGCCCAAATGAACTCAAGAGGAAGAAAAAAATTATTGAAATAAATCTAATATTGAATTCATTTTCAACAAGTAAAGCCACTTTAGTTCCCTATCCTATCAAAACTGTGCACAATAACAAAGCATTTCCCCTTAAAAGTTAACATAACCAAGGATAACAACTCTCAGTAAACCAAATATGCTGCTTCCACACGCCTTCCACTGGGATTTGCTGATTCTGCTACAGCCCCGCCACCTTCTGCCGGCAACTTGGCAAGTCTAGCCCATATATGCTGCTGCCACTCCTCTTCCTACTTGACAGAAGACTTGAACTCTCATCCAATGCTGCAAATGTCTCTAGCAACTCCAGCAACATTGAGGGGCAGCTCTCTTCTAGATGCTTGTACCCATCTGATTGCATCACAGCTGCAGAACACACGAGGATTCATTGGGTCAAATATCCAATTTTACACCACAAAGAACCATGAAATGAAAACAGTTACATGCAAAGTAAATGAGGAAGAATTCCTTTACGGAAGGATGAGATAAATGTATAACTTCCACAGCAGCAGTGGATGTGGAAAATACAAGCTTTGAGAATGAAAATTAGTATATGTCCAGAGGTGTAGTAACATAAATTCATGTTGCCATAAAAAAATTTGTCCATATTCATATCCCATGCATCACTGAGAAAAGTTAAACCAAAATGTCCAGTAAAATAACCACCATTCAAAGACAGGACAATGAGCAACTAATGTCAAATTAATACAAGTTAATCTTTCTAGGAACTGAGAGCTGTTTGAGACCATTCAAATATGGTAGTTAGAGATTTTCATACCAATCATAATTTGAAATGTGTTTAGAGAGATTTTTCTTTTTGTATTTTGATGAATTATTTTTTCATATGTGTCAAACATGGATTTACATGAAATAAGAATTTCCCCTTTCAGGAAAGAAGGGAAGTAGCATCCCAATGAATTTTTTTACCCTAATACGAGAGAATGGATAATCGTTCAATACAAGAACCAAAACAATATTCGCATTTTGTTTGAATTCCCACTATAGAAATCCAAATAGAAAGTTTTCAACGAAACAAGATACGTACAATTTATTATCACAATCAACTTATTACATGAAAGTATGATCTTTTATAGTTATAGAGCGCTTTGCTCTGTATGTGGACACGTATGGTACGAATGTGAGTCTTACCTCTTTCCATTTCTATAAAAATTAATACTTCATGAGTAGACATGATTGAAATAGTAGGACACACAATCATACCATCTTAATTTTTTTTTCTTCTTCATAATTTTGGATAATGTGGTTGGAAGGACATGTCCAACACTTCAAAGTAGGGTTCAAATTTCAAGTAAGCAAATCATGAGGCTAGGAATACATATTTGATGATTGAATTTAAGGGGGCCCCAATCCCCACAATCAAGAGGTGGGTCACTATTTCAAGTGGTTGTTGATACGGATCCTAGACACCACACACATTAGACTGAAGTCTTCTTACTCTTAGTCTTACACATATTTCATGTTTGAGCCTCATACATGTAACATGCTTGCCTATTAGACATGGTACCCCAAATGTATCAAATCCGGGCCCTTCAATTATATGTGTTCACTTCTTAATCATTCAAAAAAGTCACACAAACTCATCGTGTGGCTGAGAAGAGGGAGGTCCATCTGATTATTGTGTGGTGGGTTTTGTGTTTTGGATGATGATCACATGGGATTAGAGATTGTTATTCGAACACATGTTGCTTATTGGCACCACTAGTTTTGGATTTTAAATCATTTTTCATGGGGTCACTTTGAGAGCTGAGATTGTGTTTGTTGAGTGAGTTTCAGGGTAAGGGGTCATATCTACCATTGCTATCGGTATTGTCCTCCTCAGGTTGTTAGGATTTTTCTCCTTTGGGGTTTTCTATGACAACGTTTTAATGAGGACACTTTGTTTTTCTCCATTTAGTTCTCGTGAAGTTTTCCAATTAATGAAGTTCATTATTATTTTTATTATAAAAAATAAAAACTTGAAACTTTGTTTAAAATAAAAGTATCACTATATCACACGGCCTAAAGATTTAACACGTAAATACTAAGTTGTGAGAAGGTATGCCAACCAATTCTTGTGAACCTTGAGCTCTTTCATCTATTTGTCATGGCAAAGGACAAGGGAAGGTGAATGTTGTTACCATTCACATGAATAGAGTCAGCTCTTGCAAAAGGCAAAGGGCAATTACTATTCATTTTAAATTATTTTTATTTTATATACATAAACTATTAATTCTGATAGGATTTAGAGTTTTGGTGTGGAAAGTAAAGAATATGGCCAAATATTTTTAAATATAAAAATTTCTGAATTTTTAGGTAATTTTTTCATTTTTTTTTAATTTTTTTAATTTTTTTAATTGACTACTAACATCAGCATTACGTGACTTGCCCAAGCAGCAGCACAGGCTGCATTTGCCAGGGTTGGTGGGCCCACGCCTTATTTGGGCTTGCTCTTGCACGCTGGAGCCATCACGCGGGCCTAGGCCCTCTCCTGCTGGGCTTCCCCTTGCCGCTGGAAGTGCTCTAATCATGCCTCTACAACCTGCCTCCTCAAGGAACGTACAAACTCTCTCTCACAGTCTATAAATGGATCTCAAAATTCCTGAAGCAACAGTAAGTTCCACAGCAGCACCACCTAAAAACACAAAACAAAAGCTAGCTAAGAGAGAAAAGAGATAGCTCGATGGAAAGCCAGAAAACCAACGGTAGCGTGAGCTTCTTCAAGATGCCGCTCCACTACCCAAGATATACCAAGAAGGACTACCAGGACATGCCTGAGTGGAAGGTCAACCGGCTTCTTGCCGAGTATGGGTTGTCTACCAAGGGTGACTTGGCTCACAAGAGAGAGTTTGCAATGGGTGCCTTTCTCTGGCCTGAGCTGCGCCATGATCCAAACCCTTCTTCATAATCATACCATAATTCTCTTAGAGAAAAAAAAGTTCAAATAGCTAGCTTGCTACTTCTTGTAATACCTACTTTAAAATGAAGCATCTTTTAGGAATCCCGAGCCTCTGCATTTAGGTTTTGTGCGTTTACTGCATTTAGTTTAATGTCAACCATCACAAAAATCCAATGGTTGAAAGCCAAGCCACATCAGCTACCTTAACTTTAATATTATTTACAGTGTTAATGTTTTTCTGCTTGCTGTCTTCTTCTTCAATTGTTGCTGGTTTCTTTGCTTTGAAAACATGGACTATTAACTATGTTTCTAATGGCAGGAAAATAGGCAATTGATTAACCCATTGCACAACCCTCGTATTGTAGTTTCCACCTGTGACCAGAACTCTCTTTTTTTGGTCAAAAATGACCAGAAACCCTTAACAATGACAAAAAGAAGAAAGAAAGAGACGCAATGCTTAAACCCAACAAGCTAATGGAGGTGGGACACTCAAATCTGAATTTTTTTTAAACACAAAATCTGATAAAATAATAATTTGGAAAATAGATGGGGAAGTTTGGATTAAATCAAAATGGGTTGAACCCAACCCCCAACTTTCAGTAAACAAAGCCAACGACACCAAAATTTATGTAGACATATGATGCTCCGGGCTCACAAATTCATTGAATTAAACTTCTCGAACGATTAAAAAAGAACGAATGCAGTTGTGTGGTGATGGATTGGGAGCCAAAGTACTGGTAAAAGTCGTAAAGTAATGGAGTTGATTGTGGCTTTGTTTTTAACGATTGGATTATTGTAATGGTTGAGATTAAACTAAATACGAGTAAATGCACAAAACCTAAATGCATAGACTCGGATCCCTTCTCGTAGTTCTTTTTTTCCTAAATTGAATGACGAATTTTGTTTCCAATTACAATAGTGCATTCACCTTAGTAGCCCAACTGAACTAAAGAGGAAGAAAAAAATTATTGAAATAAATCCAATATTGAATTCATTTTCAACAAGTAAAGCCACCTTAGTCCCCTATCCTATCAAAATTGTGCACAATAACAAAGAATTTCCACTTCAAATAACCAAGGATAACAACTCTCAGTAAACCAAAGATCTTAGAAGAGGTGTTAGCGATGACCTTATCAGACAAGGAACGTGGAATTGTTTGTTATTTCTAAAAAATGTAAAACAAAAATTGAATAAAAGAAAGATAACTTCAACACTCAGACCCAAGACATTTAGAGCCATTTCTGTAATAATATAATTCCATTCAAAATGACAGTCTACCTACAAATTCTACATGAAGCACAATGTAACACATTCAAATCTCAGTTCACTTCCAAAAGAGCCCCCCACCAAACCTGATATAACAAAGGAAATGACATCGAAACTTTATACAAGGAGTGTCTAACACAATGGGAAATGATAAGTGACTATTATCCGCATGCCATTCATAACTACCGTTTTGTTCCTAAGACCACTCCTTTCAGGTTTGTGGCACCTAAAGGTAACTACATACACTAATACCGCCGCCTCACACGCCTTCCATTGGGATTTGCTGATTCTGCTACAGCCCCGCCACCATCTGCTGGCAAGTCTAGCCCATATATGCTGCTGCCACTCCTCTTCCTACTTGACAAAAGACTTGAACTCTCATCCACTGCTGCAAATGTCTCTAGCAACTCCAGCAACATTGAGGGGCAGCTCTCTTCTAGATGCTTGTACCCATCTGATTGCATCACAGCTGCAGAACACACGAGGATTCATTGGGTCAAATATCCAATTTTACACCACAAAGAACCACGAAATGAAAAGAGTTACATGCAAAGTAAATGAGGAAGAATTCCTTTACGGAAGGATGAGACAAATGTATAACTTCCACAGCAGCAGTGGATGAGGAAAATACAAGCTTTGAGAATGAACACATGAAAATTAGTATATGTCCAGAGGTAGTAACAAAAATTCATGTTGCCATAAAAAAATTGTCCATATTCATATCCCATGAATCACTAAGAAAAGTTAAACCAAAATGTCCAGTAAAATAACCACCATTCAACGGCCGGGCAATGAGCAACTAATGTGAAATTAATATAAGTTAATCTTTCTAGGAACTGAGAGCTGTTTGAGACCATTCAAATATGGTAGTTATTATTAACCAACCAATATACCATTCTCAAAATGCTGCCCCTCGATCAGCCAGATATCAAGGTGTCACCATAGGCTGACCCAGATGTAATATCATAAATTTTAAGGAACATCCTTATTGACTTCCTGAAACCATAGACAATCATAAGGACATCTGCAGCATGTTTGATGAGCCAGGCATGCATCAAGGATTACTTGAGACTACTTAGAAAGAGAAAAAAGCAAAATTGATACAACCTGAAACCGTGCACCAACAGAATCTACGCGAAACACCCACCTCCTAAGTTTGCAGGATTTGCTGCAAATTTTAAGCACACAGCCTTGAGCTGCGGGCAGTGATGTTGTTCAGCAAGAGCAAGTGTGGTCGCAACTGTTTCAGTAGTGATTTCTTCACACAACTTTGATTCGCACAATACTTTCAGTCGTTCTAGATTATACAGGTCCGCAGCAGCCAAAAGATGCTGCACCATGACAGTGAATGTGCACAATGGTGATGAGCCCATAACTTCGTGTACATCAGGAAGTTTGTCCGTGTAAATAAACAGAAGCATTGCCTGGGAAAAAAGGGATAAAATCCCCATTAAAGTCATGAAACAGGCTTAAAATAGCAGCATACACAAATTAAGCATATGGATTGCAATTTGCAGAAACACTCATTTATCACTGTAAATTTATTGGCCACAGGACAGAAAACAAACTTTAGTCTGAACCTCAACTAACGCAACATAGACAAATGGAGCAGCATAATATTAAAGAGTTACAGGTAATTGGAACGAGCTCAAACTAGTTCACAATCATAGCATCACTTCTAAGCAATCAACTCCCATAAATACCCTTAATTATGTGTCCAATCTGAATGAAGACAGACCATAGGCTACTTTAAATTAATATTTGATTATAACTGATAATCGACCACATCAACAATAATTACCAGAAACCTTAACCGTGCAAATGAAAGCCCCAGAAAAACAGACACAGAAAAGAACCATTGGATTTTCATAGATACACAACTTGCACAAACTTCAATCTGTGTGATGCACAAAAACTTAAGATAACTCTTATACTAAAGATGCATTATCTCATTTATGAGAACTTAATGACTTTAAATAGAAAATTTGGGTTCTGAAACATTACTACATTGCACAAGGACATCTTTAAAATTTTGGAGTTTCACAGCTAATGCGCAAGGCAACATGATAAAAAGGTAAGAAAATTAATTATTTTGTTTAGAGTGTTAGAAAATTGTACAATGGTGATCAATGTAGAACAACATAGACCAAAAATCTGGACACAGGTAAAACATAATAAAACTTAGACCCCACCTTCCCCTGGAAGTGTTTACTTTTCCATTTCCTATTTATATTTAGGCCACAAATTCTACATTATATAAGAACTTTTATTTATTATCATTAGTACTTTGTCTTGAAAGCACACAATGCTAACCAGATAAAATTAGCATCTGCCAGACAATTTTACTATCCCAAGATTTCTTATTTGTTCATTTCATAACTGAATTCATAAAGAGGCAATGCTGAATTTGTTCTACTACTAATACAAGTGTAAAAAGTGAATCTCAATTATACCATGGGGAGACTTATAAGTGCAGAAGTCTTGATGCATGTATCATGCAATATATATATTCTTTTCTCTTATTTAAGATGGTCATAAGTGGAAGCAAGAAGATCATGAAGCCTTACCTTGAAGATAAAGGGCTCAACATCCTTCACAACTACTTTATCTATGCTACAATCCCCGACAAGTCCAAAAAACTGTGCTCTAAATACAGGAGAACGGGCAGCAAGTATCAACTTGTGAGCTTTAAACAATTCATCGCCAACCTGAAAAACTATGTCACAACCAGCTTCAGAGTCTAGAAAGTCCTTAAGATCTCGACCCATGTCTGATGATGGTACAGTAATTGAAAATTGTTTTGGTCGCTCAAGGCGAGTTCTGACAACTCCAACAGTGCAGTTCAATACAAGGCAATCATCCCTTAGAAACTCAGAAGTTTCGAGGGCTGATCTTTTGAAAAATCTCTTGTAACCCCTGAAATGTACCCAGAGAAGTAAAATATGATGATGGAAACAGTGCAGAAGCTTCCAACTTGAAAAAACTCCCAATACATGAAAATAAATGAGCTTATCCAAAAACTAGGAAATAGGTTACAGAGACTGCAGCCAATCTATAAAGAAATCTGATAAACTTATTAAATGCAACATTACATGCAAACCTAATTGTTCTATTGTAATTAAACCAAACACATACTAGTTCTTTTTTATTATATCAGTGTTACCATATACATGCATGTAAATATGTGATGCCTCACGGTCATAATTTTCCACATTAAAATGGTATGACCCCAATACTTAACATAACACACCAAAAAAGCACTCCATGATGATATGTAAGCAAAAGGATTGAAAAGGTAAGTTATTTAGTCGGCTCCCTAACCACACCTAGGCAACCAAAATAGAGGGAGAGGGGAGAGGGGAGAGGGGGGAGAGGGACATCTTCAACATTTGAATATCTACATGTAGGTTCGGTTGTTAGTTATTTCTCCAATATTTATCTTCACCTTTTCAAGTTTTCCATTCATTAGCCAATGATATCCCTATATAAATAAGCTCCACAGCAAAGCACAACATTACTTTAATTTATATAAGTAAACATAGAAAATGAGATGTTAGATTTTTAAAAATAATAATCTTTTATATGATCAGTATTCACCAGACAGAATGAGTCTTACAATCATCATCTTCTCTAGGTCATGTTGCACATTTTTAGGGAGATAAAATCCTAACTAATCAATTTTTGTTCTTTTGCTGATTTAATTTTCTAAGTGGTTTATTGGATTAATATTTAATTCATATTATGTTTTACTAATAATGAATGTGAAAGAAAACTGATGTAGAATGGTTCATCTCAAGATTTGCATGGAAATTCACATTGAAGATCAGTCTAAATATTGATATAATTGAAAAAAGTAATATCAATTTGAAAATTATTGTTATTTTTATGTATAATACATATGTTTTTTTTCTTTTTATTCAAAGCGAGTCTAAGCCTGGAGATATGTCGACCTATGTTCCAGAAGTGCTCTAACCTTTAAGCCATAAGCCCCTAAAATAAGTTCACATGTGTGCGTTTCTGTATATGTAATATATACTAAGTAATCAGCAATCCATAATTCACAAGCAAGTCACATATTGGACCATGGATATCAGGAAGATCCACAATCAAACCAATATAACAATTAGCATGCCACTGTAGCGTGCAAGATAATTCGGACAGACACACACTAAGAAAACACAATTACCAAATTGCTTACCAAGCTGCTAAATCAACATTCCACCACAACATACCACATTAAAACCGATCCCTAACCCAAAATTCACCTAAAAGGTACTCAATTTAATCATCAAAATAAATACTTAAGGCACCGAAACCCACCAATTAACCCAGAAACACATACCACATGCTGCCTCTGTACTTCAACGTGTACGGCCCGCTCTCGAGCGCACGATCAAAGTGGCTATGCACCTTGTCCTTCCCACTCTTGGTCTGGTCCACCAAAGTCAGCTCGAACAAAGCCCTGACATCCGTACCCTCACTGACCAGAGCAATGAAAACGGAGACGTACGTGGAACTATCCTCAGGATTTTTGCCGTCGGGGTAGAAGTAAATTGCCCAATCGTAGCCACCCACCGTAAACGTATCGCTCATTATGTACTTTCCGGCACCCATCCCTTTGGCCAAAGAATACCCCTTTATCGTGAACCGGTGAGACCCATTGACAGTCTCGCTGATCGATCTCGAACACGACTCCTGGTCGACCCCAGGCTTCGAATTCGACATGGCTTCACCCAATTGAGCCCCTCTGGACGATTTGTGATTCGGCATCGGACAGTTCAAGCGGAACCCTAAAAAGCCAAGCGGTTAATGCGTGGCCGCGGCATGGCATGCAAATTGTGCAGATTGGTAGGAGAAATGGACGAATTAAAACCCTAATTTTGGGTTTTGAGTGGTGAAATGTAAGGAGAGATGATACTTTTGCCGGAGAGATGAAGATTCGAGAAGACTGTGAGGGGAGGCCGGAGAGGGTTTGTGGTGTTTTTTTGGGGTTAGGACTCGTCAAGAGTTAGGCGGGGCCTTTCGCTTTTGACGGGCCAAGTGGGTTGGGACTCAATTTTATAGTGCTCCCATTTGGTTGACGTGTCCATCTGGCTTCTGTTTGGATTTTCAACTTCATGACATGGAAAATAAATAGTTTTGAGGACTCTTATATAAAAATGTAAAATTTTTTTACACCCACAAAATATCATTGAACCTCACCCTTTACTCTCACTTTACCCCTTTATCTAACTTACTCACTCCTACCTCACTCATTTTTCTGTAATCCTAATCCATATATGACATAAATATACTTAAATTTACTGGAATAAGTACAATGTAGGAACAACTTGTCGTCTCTAATAACTTTAATGAAGAAAAAGTAAAATTTTGGACAAAAAATTTCGATTTTAACACTGACAATTCATGGATTTGCGGCACGTGAGTCACACAACTCATAAAGTTGTGATTATATAAAATTACACACCATCAAGTTGTGCAGTTACAATTCACAAATAATTCATAAATTTGTGATTATTTAAAAAAATGCACATGGTCAATACCAACCCTTTTTTATGCCAAAACCAAAATAAAATGGTCCAAAAACTTACGAAGTCATCATAGATGAAGATTAGCTCGTCATTTATCATCTTCTTCTAAAGTTCAATGTAGATAATAGAAAGAAAAATAGTTTGAGTAAGCCGAAAAATTAGAGACATCTTTGGAAGATTATTAATTTGTTTTGGGTGTTCAAAGAATGTAGGAAATATAAGTAGGTGTCTAAATAAACAAAAGTGTCGAGAGACAAAAATGAGTTGTAAACATAATTTATCTTTTATTAATTTGGTTAGCAACATAATTACATGAAATTAGGCCAAAGTCTCTTCATTCGCGTGTATTGTAGACAAAAATCATCCTACAAACCAACACACGTTTTACAAACACATAAATTACGAAGATTTAGAATGTCAAAGGCTGAATTATTGCAGAGTTTAATTCAACAACATACATTGATGTGACTCGCAAGTATGCTTCATTGTTAATATAAGAAAATTGTGAAGGATCCACTGATGTAGTGGTTTGGAGTATTTATTCCCTCAAACAAGATCCTGAATTCGAGTCATAACATCCGTGTACTGTGTGTGAATTTAATATACCATCGCCTCTCTCAATAGAAAAGATCTTTAAAATACATATATATATATAAGAAAATTAAGAACACTCTTGAAATTAATAAAATTAAAAATGGAACTACGAAGGGCCAGTTCACCATAATTTTTCAAACTGATTATATTTTTGTGTGAAAAAAAGGAAGAAAATCACATCAAATAGTGTAAATTGGTGTGGATTATTTGTTTAAAATTTAAAATTATATAAAAGGAAAATAAAAATTAATATGTTTTATATTTTGGATTTTTAGCGCAACCTTACATGGAAAATTAGCGCCAACGTGTAACCATCTCTCACTCCCTCCACTAAATATTTTAATATTCAATCCGTCGGTGACCTTGACATTAGCAAGCAGTCAGTCGTCTCTCTCTCGTGGTTATCTCTCTCTCTGCAACAACACTCAACCTCAGATCCTCTCACTCTCTCACTCTCCGGCGCCCCCATTCCGGTCCCTTCTCAACCCATCAAAACGGAGCGATTCGTTCTTCATTTCCAGTTTCGTTGAATTAGAGCATGACAATCTTAAACAATGGCGATTGGTTGAGAATCCCACTGATCCTGAAAGTCTTTGGCTTTGCTATGGTATCAATCACCTTCTTCTACCTCGGCAAGCACTGGTCCGATGGGTCCCAGCAGCTCCTCTTCTTCACCACAACGCGTCGAGCCCCTTCCACCGTCTCCCTCTCACCCAATCAAAACAAGCCTTTCAATCTCTCCTCCCTCATCCCCCAAGCCCAAGCCCCACCGCCATCGCCTCCTCCTCCTTCCCCGCCTCCTCCGCCGCCACCTGATGTGATCCAGAGATTCGGAATCGTCGACGAGAATGGCACCATGTCTGACGAGTTCGAGGTCGGGGATTTCGATCCCGATGAGGTGGTGGAGAATTGGGGGAGTGGGAACGGGTCGGTGGCTGAGAGCGAAGCGAGTGGCACCGGTACGATTAGTGTTAAGAGGTTCGAGCTCTGCCCGAAGAGTATGAGCGAGTACATACCGTGTTTGGATAATGTGGACGCCATTAAGAGGCTCAAATCGACTAAGAATGGCGAGAGATTCGAGCGGCATTGTCCAGAGCCCGCTCGGGGCTTGAATTGCTTGGTTCCGCCTCCCAAGAATTACAAGAGCCCAATTCCATGGCCTAAAAGCCGCGACGAGGTATTTGCTTCATTTATGAAGTTATTAGCTTTTTCTACCTGTGTTTACTTGTATTATTAAAGCGTTTATCTTTCGGACTTTGTTAATGAAATTGGCTTGCAGGTTTGGTTCAACAATGTACCTCATACTCGTCTAGTCGAAGATAAAGGGGGTCAGAACTGGATTACACGACAGAAGAACAAGTTTAAGTTTCCTGGAGGTGGTACACAGTTTATACATGGAGCAAATGAATACTTGGATCATATTTCTAAGGTTAAAGTGGTTTACAATTTAATGTAATGGGAAATGTGAAGTGGGTAGTTTGAGTATTTGGGTTATTGCTGTATCTTGTTTCTCTGATCATCTGATGGTCAAAGCCTTAATCGCGCAGGTGGTCCCTGACATCACCTTTGGTCAACATATCCGAGTTGTTTTGGATGTTGGATGTGGTGTTGCAAGTTTTGGTGCGTATCTGCTGTCACGAAATGTAGTTACCATGTCAATTGCACCTAAAGACGTCCATGAGAACCAGATTCAATTTGCTCTTGAGCGTGGTGTTCCTGCAATGATAGCAGCATTTGCAACTCACCGTTTGTTGTACCCAAGCCAGGCATTTGACTTGATACATTGCTCACGATGCAGGATTAATTGGACTCGTGATGGTATGCAAAACTTATATTGGACTTTTTGTTCTCTAGTGACGATTACTGTATCTTCTAATTGTAGTTTTATTTACCCTCTTTTACTTTTTTGTGTTGAAGATGGGATATTGCTGCTCGAGGTTAATAGGATGCTCAGGGCAGGTGGATACTTTGTTTGGGCAGCACAGCCAGTTTATAAGCATGAAGATGTTCTAGAGGAGCAGTGGCAAGGTATTACTGCAAAACATTCTTTTGGTGAAATTGAAAATTTGTATGATTGCTATTTTTTTTTTTTTTTTTTTTTTTTTTTTTTTTTTTTTTTTTTTTGGTCTGAAAATATTGATGATTGTTGTAGTTGTAAAGTTTTGAAGTTTTCATGGATTACCATTTTCTGACTTAAGATGAATTGAAACTTATAATTTCTTTTTGGCTGCCAATCCCAGATATTTAACTTTAATTGTTCCTTGAAGACCTATATTCACTGGCAAACCAGAAAAACAACTTATTTTGTGCTTATAAAAATTTCTTGTCTGGCTTTCCTTTAGGGAGCCTGTATGACTGCATTTCCAGTTTTGAGAAAAGTGAATAATTGATAAGAGAAGTGTGAGCAACGGTGTTATAACGTCTTGTATACTAACTTTTTATTTGCTGGCATCACTGGTTTAATGGAGCCCACCTGCTGTCTGTCTGTGAACATGTTGGATTAGTAATCATATCTGGACCTGGGAAACAATAAAATTTGTTTTTTCATTTTTCCTTCTGCAGAAATGCTTAACCTCACCACACGCCTTTGCTGGGAGTTTGTGAAGAAGGATGGCTATATTGCAATATGGAAAAAGCCTTTAAACAACAGCTGCTATCTAAATCGGGACCCAGGAACCAAACCTCCATTGTGTGATCCAAGTGATGACCCAGACAAAGTTTGGTATATCTATGATTCTTGTCTCTCTCCCACTCCCTTCTTTGAATAATGATTTAATGATTTTATTCAAGTAAAATATTTTATTCCAAGTCAGGTATCTAGAGTTTTCGTATTCATCAAACTTGGACATTAATCAAATGCATATACCAGCTGCTTTTCATTGCAACAAGGCTATGCATGTTTTTGTTTGGAGATATTACTTTGGAATAAACCTTCAAGGAACGCTTTGAAAATGTTGGACTCTTTTTCTTTGGTTCTGACATGTAGACCATTTCTCTGAAGTTCTAATTTCACAGTTTAAGTTTATTTGTGCTGATAACTGTAACATATTATTTCACAAGAGCTTCACATGTGGATGTAGTTGATTTGCTTCTAATTCTTGTGAGGGTTTCTTCTTTGTGTGGTGGTTCAGGTATGTTGATCTGAAGGCATGCATCACAAGACTCCCTGAAAATGGTTATGGAGCAAATGTCACAAAATGGCCAGACCGTTTGCAAACTCCCCCTGATAGGCTTCAGAGCATACAATTTGATGCCTATATATCCAGAAAAGAGCTCTTCAGGGCAGAATCTAGATATTGGCATGAAATAATTGAAAGTTATGTTCGTGTTTTACATTGGAAGAAGATTAGATTAAGAAATGCAATGGACATGAGAGCTGGCTTTGGAGGGTATCATATTTATCTTGTGTTCTAGCGGCCTTCTAAATTATTATTTTTAAACAAAGGTTTTCTCATTGCTTATTGTCTCTTAATTGGTTGGCAGATTTGCAGCTGCACTAATTGAACAAAATTTGAACTCTTGGGTTATGAATGTGGTTCCTGTTAGCGGCCCGAACACCTTACCAGTTATATATGACCGTGGACTTATTGGAGTTATGCATGACTGGTACATTACCAACTGTTTTTCTTTGTCTAAACAAGTTCCATGAATTTAAAAGTTACTTATTCGAATTATATGTATCAGGTGTGAACCATTTGATACATACCCACGAACCTATGATTTATTGCATGCAGCCGGCCTCTTCTCAATTGAGAAAAAAAGGTTAGCCATCTCTGTCTCTCTCTCCCTTCTCTTTCCTATCTCTTTCCCTCCAAGTAGAAAATTTTAATTTTTTCTTTAAGTCTAGTATATTATTGTTTCCCATTACTATCTTCTCCTTTTGTGCTTTAGATGGAACCGAACAAGCATAGTTGCTGCAATGAGAAGGGTTTACATTTTACTGAGAACTAATTTTCAAAGTAGTACTAGTTATGCAGTTAATCTGAAACAAAGCTCTTTTAGAAAAATTAGAAGTTCATTAGTAAATTAGGAAATGTAACTACCTGCCCTTATATCATGGTAAAGCCTCTCTCTTTATTAATTGGGGGAGGTTTTTGGATTTAACTTTGAATGGAGTTGTTAATCTAATGGTTGGGAAAGTGGAAAGGCTATATCTGGTTGAATAGTTAACCATTTTGACTGGAAAGAAAAAGGAATGCATTGGCCGGGATTGTACTACATACATTCTCCCTTCTTGTTCTATTGGCTATTCACACTATGCGCACATGGTCATGGGGTGAGACTGATTGTTTTGTGGCCGCGGCCGCGGGGCGGGGTGGTGGTTTGGTAAAGTGGTGGTTTTATATTTCATTTTCTTCTTTTAAACCCTGATTTCGATTCATATCATTATAACAGATGCAATATCTCGACAATCATGCTGGAGATGGACCGAATGCTAAGACCCGGTGGACGTGTATACATCCGTGACTCTCTTGCTGTCATGGATGAACTTCAAGCGATCGGAAACGCCATGGGTTGGCACATCAATTTGCGAGACACATCTGAGGGGCCTCATGCAAGTTATAGACTCATTATTGCTGATAAACGCCTCTTGACTAGTTGAAGCATTGGAAGACTAGATTGTATTTTACAGCTCGTCTTCCGAAAGGGAAAATGACTAACACCAGCATCACTTAAGATTCCATGAGCTGAACTTACTCGGTACAAGCGTAATGAGAGAGAAAATTCTTTTGATTGTGTGTAGTGGGTTGGGTAGGGCAAACCTCAGATCAGTGTCAAAACGCAATCTGAATATTGAGGATTCTGAGTTGGTACTTGACACTACTATAGAGAATCCCCTACCTGTTTTCCTTGTGAAAAAAAATATCAGAGTGCTAGTGAGTTTAGATTATGTTTTACACAAGAGTTTCAATATTTTGTTTTTTAAATTATTTGTGTTGCTGTACATAATGGGAATATCAATTATCCATTCTGATTTATCATTGTTTATTATTTACATGGTTCTATTCAATTATGATCCGTTCTTTCCGTCGAGTCATTAAGAAATTCTTGAATATACACTTGAAATAATTGATCTCTTTGGTGAAAATGAACATATCAGGGTAAAATTCATAAGTATTTAATTTGTTAATGCTGGTAAAAGTAATTTCTAAATGGCATCTTTAGAGAGATCAAAGAAACTCATAAATGCCCTATATTTAGTAATTCTCATTTTTTAGGATTAGGGGGAAGCCAACGGTCAATAACAAAGAATCGATCACCTTGCATACTTGAAAGGTTTCTGGAAGGGCATCAATCCAATTGAACTACATTTTCTTACTTTTCAATCAAAAACCAGGCAATGAAAATCTGAATGCAGAAACACAAATCACACTGGTCTATCAGATCTTGGTCTCCATATTTGCTGCCGCTGATCTTCATATGTCTGCAGAGGAGGTTTTTTAAAGGTTGCCCTGTTGGGATGGCTTTTTGGGTTCATAGTCTGAAATTGAGATTGCACTTGTGAGGGGCCTTTTGGCTTCACCGTCTGAAATTGAGGTTGCACTTGTGAGGGGCCTTTTGGCTTCACCGTCTGATATTGAGGTTGCACTTGTGAGGGTGAGCGCACCACCTTGTGCACCTGAGGACGAGTTAGTTGTCGGGGGCCATTGTTGCTTGGGGTTGGTGAATGTGAACCCTCAGCCCTGAAACGTTGTGGATGAGTTGGTTGGCAGCGCCAGTCTGGTGTTCTTACCATGAGGCTTAACATTTGAGGTCGGACTAGGGTGGCAAGAAGCGAACTGTGATTGGGTGAGATGAGTATGTGGTGGCTCATCTCAAATGTTTCTGATATCCTTGTCAATTCCCTCTTGCTAACAGCCCTCGCAGAATTTTCCGGTTGCTCAAAAGGATCTTCAATCTACCCATGCACCAATTCCAGTAACAAAATCAGTAGTGGTGACAGTAATAAATATCATTATTTCTGAAGAAACAGAGAGAGCATCAGCCAAAAAAATATATATGAGAAGTATGAAGAGAGAGAGAGATGGAATTACAAATAGGGCATAAGTTTGGGGCAACCATCTCATATTGCTTTTTATGGCTTGCCACTGTCCAGTATAAGTGCAAATTCCTAATTCCGAAGCCTTCAAACTGATGTCAGAAAACTGCAAAATTTATAAAATGACCATCATCAAATTGAATGTTTGATCTCAAATTCATGATTATAACAGTCTCTGGTTAAAAACATTAGAAAATACAATTCAAGTTATTTATGAAGGTAATAATACCTTCCCAAGGAATGAAATGAAAAGCTCAGACAAAGAACTTCTGTTTTCTGCCCTCAAATTGTATGATTGAAACCTTCTTATATTAGCAGCACACGTCTCTTCAATACGTCTCTCTGTATCAGCCCTCAAGCCTGCATGTAGCATAGCACAATCAGATATTTGTTGTCCAAATTAGTCAACTGATTGAAGATCAAAAAATTAATTTCCAGATATATTTTAGGTATCGAACAAATTCTTTTTAGAAGCATTATGGAAGTGTTTTTCCCACACGTAAACAACACTTGGTTTAAAATCAGAGAGAAGTAGAGAACAGTTGACTCACTGCAATATCCAGAAAATATACCTATTTAAAAACAAATCCTATACAGTGATTTCACTTCTTGCTAACCATATGGACTAATTATCAATGCGCACTATCACTCAAGCCACCCCTACTCAAAAAAGATCTGGCTCAGTGCAAAGCACTTAAAGGATATATCAATTAAGATATTAAATTTATAATCTGGGTCCTCAACAACTAAGAATTTTTATTCTCCAAGTCTTCAAGAATAGGTATTTTTTTTTTTTTTTTTTTTTTTTTTTTTTTTTTTTTTGGGGGGGGGCTATTGTTTTGCTTTGCTGCATAGGGGATCTATCTGAAACTTCATTACTTCAAAAAACTAACCAAAAATAACTACAACTATGAATCCGAAGGGTGAAAGACTGCTCTCATACTGTAGCATGATCCCTTTCAGGAACTATTGTAATAAACACAACCTTCCTTCAGGGTCTATTAGAGCAACTTTTATTCAAACTTCCACAAATTAGATATAATGAGTGGCCAATTAGTAAAGAAAATGAGGTCACCTCTTGAAAGATGAAAAGTACCTTTAAGATCATCAATGAGATTTCCTGGATATATATCTTTAAGGGGTGGAAAAATTGCAGGTGCACATGTCTGAAAGAGAAAATTGAATGAGAAGTATTAAATTAAAATCAGGGACATCTGTTGCAGAGAACTGAATCATATATATTGTAGGAAGCAACAACAGAAGATTGAAGCAAGTAAAACATTAACTACACACAACAAAATGCTTGGACAAGAGTATATTCAGCCTTTGATCCACCAACACAACCAAAATGAAGAACTAGACAGTATAAATCTGGTGGTGTAGCGTACTATGAAGAAAGCCCAAAAAGGTCACAGAATTTAATACTAATCTACTTCCAGCAAACCAGGTTGATACCAATCATCTTAGATTATGCTAAAGTGCAGCTGAAACAGTCAAAAGAATCCCCTCACAATTCAAACTACTTTTCAGTCAACACCAGAAATGATGATTTAAGATTACCTGAAAATGGAAGACCACAAGCAAAGTGAGAGAGTACGAATTGAAAGTCCCAAATTTTGGATTATTTATGTTGTGTGCTTTTGCCCATTCCTTTACCTACAAAAGCTAGAAGAATATATCAGATACGAACACTTTCCCTTTAGAAAGTAAATTCTAATCTCCAATAACAATGTACCAGTAAAACCATATCGCGGAAGCGTGTATCTATCTCACTGATCCAGAACAAGAGTCTAGACTTCATTTGGCATTTCAGATTATCGATTGAAATATCGCAAGATACATTTCGGAGATTACTTTCAACCTTTAAAATGGGAACTCTTGCATTGGGGATTAATTGGTACCTCCTCCATCCACCTGAAAATGAATGTTCATTAGAAATTAAATTGGAGATGCTGTAATTAAACAAAATCAAACTCCCCAAATACACATATACACACATACAAACCCACTTGTTGTAGCTTTTTGTTAATCAGGGAACCTAATATATAATACAAAATTCGCAGATATGATGTATAAGTCTCTTAATGCCATTTCTATGTATTATTGTCACCAAATGAACCAAATAGCACACAGTTCAATGGCATGTTCAGTATAATATAGTTGTTAATTTTATTTTTATTTTTTGAGAAGAAACGAAATTTATAAAGCAAAAGAACACGGCGGTGGATAAGACAACCACAACCGGAGAACAACACCAACACACAAAGAAACAAACAACACCAACCCCTCCCAAACTAACAGGGAGGAACAAAGCCAAAAAACCACTGAAACAACACACCCCCCAACCCTCACATAACCACTGCTGCCATATCCCTCAAAATAGTAGAAACAGAATAATCTTTAAAATCTTCAGTAACAGAAGCCCACAAAGCTGCCCAGTACTTAACTCTATCCCACAAATCACTCACTCCCACCCCCTTGTAGTCTTCAAAAATTCTCCTATTACACTCCATCCAAATGTTCCAGAAAACAGAGTGAACCAGACAGCCCCACAAGGTTGAGGCGCGCTTCCCCGAACCCCACACCTCAAAATCAGAACAAAGGAAATCAGCGCACCGTTTCGGAATCACCCAAACGGTCCCAACCTCCCTCCACAAAAGCCCCCAAAGACTTAAGGAAAAGGGGCAATGTAAGAAGAGGTGGTCCACTCTCCTCACCAAGCTTACATAACACACGCCACTGAGGAGACAAATACATGAAAGGTCTTTTCCTTTGGACACACCACTGAGTATAATATAGTTGTTAATGATCACCCTATATGCTAAATAAGTTAAATACAAAAGAAATACGCCACAGAAAGGTGAAGATAAAGAAAGACTGAAGGTCCCCAGTATGCACCATTTGCTTTGTACTTAGATAAGAGCACATAAATGAAAATTCAAGACCAACTAACATACTTTCTGCCACTACCATGAAATAATTCTCAAGTTTGACAACTTTTTATTAATCGTAAACAAATGAAAAAACTGACGTATTAAGTTTCCTGATCTTCTCAACAATATATGGTAAGTACTGAGGCCTGGAAAAACAATAATATAAGCATTTAAGAAAGGGAAAACAACAAAGCTACCTTTCTGTCTCATAGCTCTTGTAACATCTCCTAGTAAACGTTGTTTCTGCTTTTTCCCATAAGGTGAAACAAATGAACCATTGGAAAACTCAATTGAAACATCCAAGTCTCCCCACCTTGTAAAGAGATCAGACACAAATGACCCAAATGGTTCCACAGTAGCACCTGTTTATATGCCAGTCATAAACCCACAGAGTTACTAAACGTTTGTTAAAAAATGGGGAAAGTTATCTCCTTAATAATAGAAGACACGTACAACTAAATAAATAAAATGGCACAAAAATAAATTTGTAGTATTACAGGCACCAAAAAATTTCCCAAATGAGGAGACACCAATGGATGCGGTGGATGGCATCGCAAAATCCTAGTTGGTAGAAATAAATGTAATCCAAAATGGGACAAAATATTGGCAAATAAACGTTGTGACATTAGT